CACTAACGGAAGAGGCCCTTGTCCCCATTAACATGGGGACAAGGTGTCTTTTGGGGGGGAGCCCCCCTGCCCCCAAAGCACCCCCATGTTGAGTGGCATGTGGCCTGGTATGGTTTCAGGAGGGGGGGGGGGAGCTCACTCGTCCCCCCCTCTTTCCTGACCTGCCGGGCTGCATGCTCGGATATAAGGGTCATGGTATGGGATTTTGGGGGGATCCCCAAGCTGTTTTTTATTTAATTTCAGCGTGGAGATTAACCCATTAAATATCACATACCAGAACCCAAAGGTCTTGGTTGTGATGGGAGGGTGGACCCCATGCCATTTTTTATTTTATTATGGTGGCTGGGTTTTTATATGTAAATTTTTCCCTTTTTTTCCTTCCACTATAGCCTCAGAAATTCACCTGTCACTTCCCCCCAGGCTAAAAGAGAAAGTTTCATGGAATATTTATATCCCTAAAGGAAACAATGTTTACCTTTGTGGTTTATTAAAAGATACAATGTTTTCTGTAACTTCGGGGAAAGTGACTTCGTAAGCTTGTTAACTAAAGTAAAGTGAAAAAAAAAAGGCTGCATTTTGCATTTGAAAATCAGCGCCGACATAAACTTTGTATTTGCGAAAAAATAATTATTAACAATTTGCGTAAACTAATGGCATTATTTTCAATGGATTTTCATTACGTATAAACCGAAAATTACGTTAACCGAGGCGTTGGTAAATCCGACGGTACGTCCGCTGTATTAGTATTGCTATCCTTTGTATTAGGTGTACATATAAAAAGAACCTACATACATCTGAATTTGGCAAACATAGCACAACATTTTGTGGTCACAATATAGATATCTGGCTAGTGTACACGGACGATGCCCAGGGATTTAGGATTGATTCACACCACAGAAATACAGGCAGCGTACTACTGTCTCCCAACACTAGGGTTGTTGGTTTTGAAATCCCAACCACAGCAATTGAATTTGCATGAGATCTCTGTGTGACTACCCCAACATACATGTGCTGGTGGCAGCATCTTGCTTTCTGTTTTGAAATGATCCACTATGAATGTGAATTAGAATGAGGCCTTGTCTGTTCAAACACCTTTAAAGTAGCACCTTATGTGAATGTCAAATGATGGGATGAGATAAGGGCCTGGACTAATGATTGATTGGATAATGACTCTGGTTTGCACTCCACCTCCTTTTGGAAAGTCTGTCAAACCATGGGAAGAGTGAGCGAAAGAAATGGATTAAAAAAAAAAAAATTAAATAATGGCATGGGTCGGCCCCCCCCCCCCCCCCAAATCATAACAGACCCTTATCTGAGCATGCAGATACCGCATGCCTTCAAAGATTTATTTCCCTGGTTGAATTGCCTGCTTGGTTTACATAGATGTGATTTAAAATTGTGCTTTTTGTTGGCAATTTCACCGTGTTTTCTGTAGATTTACCAATGAGTTATATTGCATTTTCAAATTGTGTCTTTTGCATTACGATTTCGTATTGTAGTCTATATGTGAAATCACTACAAAATGCTGAAAAAGTTAGATGAGAACTACTTTTGAAATTGTGCTGCAGCAAAAATTGCTTACGTTAAGACATCTCACATCCACATTCATTAGATCGGATATTAGCGTACAATTTCAATTCTTAAATTGCACCTGAAATCGTGTGCACCCTGGATGCGACTTGGTTATGCACCCTATTGTCTGCTATTAGAGCAGTCACATGGGTGCGTTTCCGACACTGATTTCAATAAAGAAGTACATGTACTACTTTTGTTGACGATCTTGCATAGATATCTGTGTCCAGATGTCTTGCAAATCGTACGGAAAATTCAAGCATCTTCACTGTACGTCGCACAATTTTCTAAACCGGCTTTGATGTTGACTGCAGTGTAGGCCTTTTTTATGTTTGATTTTCCTGAGTGTTTTTCCGATTTATTTATATTGATATTTCGATCTGCATGCTTGTTTTGTGAATAAAGCCCAAGTGATATTAACGTTTGTTTCCTGTCTGTAAACCTGATGAAAGCAATTTTCATTATAAGTATAATCTTTTAGATTGTAAGCTCTTATGAGAGTCAGGACGTGTTCTACTTTTAGCAACATCAATCCTGTGGGTTTTTTTTTCACACCAAGATCATTGAATGTAGCTTTTTTGTTGCTGTCCAAATAAATGTGGAATGTGTATTTGATCAATAAACATTTGTACTATGTATTTTTTGTGGGGGATTATTTCATGTTCTAGTTGAATGTTGCACAGTGGCCTAAATGGTTTAGCACTTACCACCTGGCTGTATTAGGGTCGTTGGTTTGAATCCCAGCCACGGCACCTCCTGCCTGGAGTTTGCATGTTCTCCCTGTGCCTGTGTTTCCTCCCAGAGTACCCAGGTTTCCTCCCACACTCTGAGAAGACAATGCTGGTAGGTTAATTGGATCTGTCAAAATTGGTCCCTAAGTATATGTATGAACGTAAGTTAGGGCTCCTTAGTAAATATGCCCCTTGAGGTTAGGGACTGATGTGTATTTACCACATCTATATGTAAAGCGCTGTCGTAAATTTGACAGCGCTATATATAAGTATCTGAAAATGTAACTGAGCACCCCTAACACTTATTTTTGCTAGCTATTATAATATGTCCCAAATCTTCCTTGTTAGAGCGCACATGTGCAAGTTTGTCGCAAAATAACAAAACCAAAAGCCCCCTATGCACGACAAGACCATGTTCTGTACTAGAGATGAGCGAAGTATTCAAAAATTCGATTCGACTGATTCGGCGAATTCGTGGACCATATTCGATTCCGAGTCGAATATATTCGCTGTGAATTAAACTTAAAAAAGGGTGTTTCTAGGCTTCAGAGAGACTTAATATTAGTGCAGAACACTGTACCTTTAATTTACAATGCCACTTGGAGTCTGCTGGGGAGAGAAATAATACTGTCAGTCAGTATGACATGCAGATGAGTGCCGTCGATCATTAGAATCACCGCACACTTCACTCATTTGGCCAGTCACAGGGGCCAAAACCAGTGTTTGGAGGCCACAGTTGTGGCTGTGGATGGCAGCAGCAAATGGGATGGCCATACAGCAACCTAGTGACAAAATGGAAACCAGCAAGCTGAGTGTGAGGAGGACTTCAAAGTGGCACATGGCAGAGTGGGAGCAATGGGAGGCGGTACAGTGGACCCATGTCACACTGTGGACCCAGCAGCAGCGTGACGAGGCGGTACGGGGGCCCATGGCAGATTTGGGGCTTCTGGCAGCACCTATGGGAGGCCTGTAATCTGCCAGCAACCTATGACAAAATGGAAACCAGCAGGAGTGTGAGGAGACTGAAAGTGGCACATGGCAGAAGTGGGAGCAATGGGAGGCGATACAGGGACCCATGTCACACTGTGGAGCCCAGCCAGCAGCGTGACCAGGCGGTACGGGGGCCCATGGCAGATTACAGGCCTGGCAGCAGCAATGGGAGGCCCGTAATCTGCCAGCACCCTATGACAAAAAATGGAACACACCAGCAGTGTTGTGAAGAGACCTGAAAGTGGCACCCCATGGCACATGGCAGAAGTGTGGCGATGGAGACAGCAGCAATGGGAGGCCGTACAGGGACCCATGAGAGACTCTGGACCTGGCAGCAGCATGAGGAGGCGGTATAGGGGCCCATGGCAGATTAGGGGCCTGGCAGCAGCTATAGGAGGCCCGTAATCTGCCAGCACCCTATGACAAAAAATTGAACACACCAGCAGTGTGTGAGGAGACCTGAAAGTGGCACATGGCAGAGTGTGGCGATGGAGACAGCAGCAATGGGAGGCCATACAGGGACCCATGAGAGACTCTGGACCTGGCAGCAGCATGAGGAGGCGGTATTATAGGGGCCCATGGCAGATTAGGGGCCTGGCAGCAGCTATAGGAGAGGCCCGTAATCTGCCAGCACCCTATGTCAAAAAATTGAACACACCAGCAGTGTGAGGAGACCTGAAAGTGGCACATGGCAGAGTGTGGCGATGGAGACAGCAGCAATGGGAGGCCGTACAGGGACCCATGACAGACTCTGGACTTGGCAGCAGCATGAGGAGGCGTATAGGGGCCCATGGCAGATTAGGGGGCCTGGCAGCAGCTATAGGAGGCCCGTAATCTGCCAGCACCCTATGTCAAAAAATTCAACACACCAGCAGTTGTGAGGAGACCTGAAAGTGGCACATGGCAGAGTGTGGCGTGTGCCCCTGCGATGGGAGACTCAGCAGCAATGGGAGGCCGTACAGGGACCCATGACAGACTCTGGATCCTTGGCAGCAGCATGAGGAGGCGGTATAGGGGCCCATGGCAGATTAGGGGCCTGGCAGCAGCTATGGGAGGCCCGTAATCTGCCAGCACCCTATGTCAAAAAATTGAACACACCAGCAGTGTGAGGAGACCTGAAAGTGGCACATGGCAAGAGTGTGGCGATGGAGACAGCAGCAATGGGGGCCGTACAGGGACCCATGAGAGACTCTGGGGACTTGGCAGCAGTATGAGGGGAGGCGGGTATAGGGGCCCATGGCAGATTAGGGGCCTGGCTAAGCAGCTATGGGAGGCCCGTAAATCTGCCAGCACCCTATGACAAAAAATGGAACACACCAGCAGTGTGAGGAGACCTGAAAGTGGCACATGTTTGGGGCATGATTCATGGCGGATTTAGTCAGTTGTGTCAGGAACTGGTGGTTTGAAATCCAGACTAATCCACGCCTGATTCATTTTCACAAACGTGAGTCTCTCCACACTTTGGGTGGACAGTCGTGTCCTCCGCGGAGTTGCAATACCTCCTGCCGCACTAAACACGCGCTCCGATGCCACGCTACTGGCCAGGGGCATGACAGCCTTTCAAGGGCAAATTCAGCTAGTTGGGGCCAAAGGTCCAAGTTTCGTTGCCCAGTAGTCAAGGGGATTGTCTACCTCGGTTGGCAGGGTGCTGTCCAAGTAGGCCTAAGCCTGTTGTTTGATTTGGTCCTGCTCCAGGTCCACCTGATGCTGCTGCTGCTGCGGCTGGTTATTAGTTTCCTCACTGCGCTGGTGAAGGGAAAGCTACTCATCATCGACTGCAGACTGAGGCAGCTGCTGCTGGTGGAGCTGCCACTGCTCCTACCATCCCCACCCCATCCCTGCTTGCCATGACTGCAGCGTAACGCGAGCGCCCACAGGGCCCACAGTGTCTGAGGATGGACGATGGCGCAGACAGGCAGAGACCAGACACCTGGACTACATAGGTGGTTTTTATAGTACGTTATTTTGGCCTTCCTCTCAGCAGGTGGGTGTGAAAAAGGCCACCATTTTGGGAACGTAAAATTAGCGAGGGTCCAACAAGGTGGACAGCCAACAAAAGTCATCCCCTCTGTCTGATGGTTAATTTTATTCGGCTGTCTGTACGCAAAGGCAAGCGAGCATGCTTATGGGCCATTTGTGCCAAGGAATGCGAGGGACTTTTTTTGCCTCCATCTCCACAGGCATTTTGCACCACGGTGCGTCTGGGTCCTCTGTCTCCTTTTCCTCTCCTCTACAGATGCCTCCCTGCTCCTCCACTCCTGAGTCCCGACTTGAGTGGAAAAACCGACCCATTTCACTCAATAATTCCTAGAGCACTATGTTCCTCCTCTACCTCCTCCTCTTCTTACTGTAACTGCCCCCACAGGGGTCATGTGGCGTTGAGATCTGTGCGCCACGTCTACCGCACCCTGACCAAGCCATTATTAACAGCATTTGTCCCCAGGACGTGCAACAGAGGAATCAGACGTCGGTTCATCCCATTTCCTGCCGACTCACGAATTAGCGTGGCCTCCTGCAAAAAATGGCTCACTGAGCAAGCGCAGTGGTGTCACGATGAGCTGCCAATGGCTGACATCTAAGTTTTTTATTTGAGTACCTTTATCCGCTCTTTAAACATCAGGAAATCTGTGATGGCCTTTTTTGGCTGTTCGTAAAGGGCTCATGGTCTAACATATGTAGGGTTGAATTCCACCTTGTTTTGCAAGTCACAGCATTGAGGAAGTCGGTACGGTGGGTACCCATGGCAGATTAGGGTCCTGCAGCAGTCAATGGGTAGGCCCGTAATTGAGCCAGCACCCTAATGTCAAAAATTCAACACAACCAGCAGTGTGTGTGAGGAGAAGCTGAAAGTGGCACATGGCAGAAAGGTGTTGGCGATGGATTGACAGCAGCAATGGGGAGAGGCCGTTACAGGGACCCATGAGAGACTTTGGACAGCTGGCAGCAGCATGAGGAGGCGGTATATAGGGGCCCATGGCAGATTAGGGGGGCCTGGCAGCAGCTTATAGGTAAGGCCCGTAATTGCCAGCACCCTATGTTTCAAAAAAATTCAAACACAATTTCCAGCAGTGTGAGGAGACTGAATAGTGGCAGCATGGCTAATAGTGTGGCGGATGGAGACCATGTCAGGCACATGGGAGGCCGTAGTCAGGGACCCATATACAGACTTGTACCTGGCAGCCTAGCATGAGAGAGGCGCGTGGTATAGGGGGCCTCATGGCAGATTAGGGGCCTGAGCAGCAGCTATAGGAGGCCCGTGAGATCTGCAGCACACCTATGTCAAAAAATTCAACACACCAGCAGTGTGAGGAGACCTGAAAGTGGCAGCATGGCAGAGTGTGGCGATGGAGACCAGCAGCAATACAATGGGGAGGGGCGTACAGGGACCATGATGGTGAGGACTCTGGACTTGGCAGCAGCATGAGGAGGCGGTATATAGGGGGCCCATGGCAGATTAGGGGCCTGGCAGCAGCTATGGCAGAAGGCGTAATCCGTAATCTGCCAGCACCCTACTTGTCAAAAAATTGAACAACACCAGCAGTGTGTGGAGGAGACCTGAGACGCTGGAAAGTGGCCCACATGGCAGAGTGTTGGCGATGGAGACCAGCAGCAATGGGAGGCCGTACAGGGACCCATGAGAGACTCTGGACTTGGCAGCAGCAGCTATGAGGAGGCGGTTATAGGGGGCCCATGGCAGATTATGGGGCCTGGCAGCATCGCTATGGGAGGCCCGTAATCTGCCAGCACCTATGACAAAAAATGGAACACACCAGCAGTGTGAGTGAGACCTGAAAGTGGCACATGTTTGGGGCATGATCATGGCGGATTTAGTCAGTTGTGTCAGGAACTGGTGGTTTGAAATCCAGACTAATCCACGCCTGATTCATTTTCACAAAACGTCAGTCTCTCAACACTTTGGCTGTGGACAGTCGTGTCCTAACGGCGGAGTTGCAATACCCTCCTGCCGCACTAAAACGCGCTCCGATCGGGGATGACCAAACCCTTTTAAGGGAAATTCCCGGAGTTGGGGCCAAAAGGGCAAGTTTCGTTTCCCAGTAGTTAAAGGGGGTTTTTCTTTCCTCGGTTGGGGAGGGTGCTGTCCAAGTAGCCCTAAGCCTTTTTGGGTTTTAAAGGGCCTGCTCCCCGGTTCCCCCCTGTTTCTGCTGCTGCTGCGGTGGTTATTTGTTTTTCCCCCCCGCGCTGGGGAAAAAAAAGCTTAATTTATTTACCCATGCAGGTTTAGGCAGCTGTTTTGGTGGAGCTGCCCCTGCTCCTACCACCCCACCCCCCCCCCTGCTGCCATGGCAGCGTTAACGCTTTAGCGCACCCGGGCCCCCCGTGTCTGAGGAAGGACGTTGGCGCAGACGGCAGGGGACCCGCTGCTTCAATAGGGGTTTTTATAGTTTCGTTAAATTTTGGAAACCCTTTTGCAGGTGTGAAAAAAAGGGCCCCCATTTTG